AAAAAGAATATAAAACAGATACAATTGTAAAAATTACATTACATTAAAATATTGCATTTATGGAAAAATAGGGAATAGTGTGGCGGAAGATTGAGACATTGATGGTGATTATGATAAACAAATTGATCAAGATTCTATTCATTCTGTATATAAAGTATTAAATTCTAATCAAAATATTACAAAAATATTATGTATTATGTAATATTATGAACATTTTTTTTCCTTATAATTTTTTATTTATAATTTTATGTAGAATTTTACATAAAATTTACATATTTAGATCATCTTATGTATAGGATATCCTGTATAAAAATGTATATAAAAGCTGCTATGTTTCTGTGTCTATAGTATCATGAGCTAAGAAAGTTATGCACAGAAATTACCGGTCATTTTTTTCACAAACAGAATTCCAGAGTGTCCGGTTTCCTTTACTTTAATGCATTTTGAATATTTCTAGGCTACACATACCGGCGCGCAATACTGCGTAATACAACTGCGTAATTATACGCGAGCAAAGTGATCGTGCTTAGGCACAATTGGAGCTCGCTTTTTCTTATTTACTAAAATATTAAAAACGGATATTTTATACTGCAAAATATTTGCAAGTGCGGTTATACGATGTGTGTTAGTAAATGTGTTATAAAATTAGGCGACATAAATTATAATTTTATAAATGGGCTACCGACCAATTTTACGTATTGTTCATAGTGATTACTGGATTGGATATTCTCATAAACAATGATGAATATCCATATGATAGATATTATTGCTTTTATGTTGCGTACATAGTTAATAGACGAGGTCGGTAGCGGAATAATGCAACGTACCGTAATCGCAACAAAAGAATTGTATGAAGAATTGTGTGGAGAAAGAGTTAACCATAGCGACAATTAAGACTATGTAAAAATAATGTTGCTGAAGACAATGATCGCGCAATGGTAATTATTATTGCCAATTATACAGACATCATATGAAGCTGAAGGTGTGGCGAAAGACTGAGATATTGATGGTGATTGTAATAAACAAATTGATCAAGATAAAAAAAAAGAAGACAATTACAATAATGACGATAAGTTATAAATACAGATGTTGTTAATGTTGTTGATACTTGAGCAATCATTGTTGTTGATGTTTGTTTCTCATGAATTGTACTCTTCTCGCAAGCTGTTTCTTCATCGTAGACTTCATGGTTCTGCACGACCTTCCGAACAGGTATAAACGTACCAA